CTGATCCTATATTTAAGATAGAATGCAATCGTTTGAAATCAACATGCAAGACATTCGGATAGGCATGAATGACATAGGGATGGTAGAATAGGAAAAAATTAATAAGGTCATAGTTTGGGAAATTGAATGACTTTTAGTCATATTTAGAATAATTTTCTATATAAAATATAAATATAAATGTTACCTTAAGAAATAGAAGAGGTGGTACAGTGGACTTGGTGACCTGGTGGTGATGGTCAGCCTGGCGGAGATCGACGGCTGTGACAGAGCTTTGGCGACGTGGTCAGATTTCTGACCAGTCAGTGCATGGGACGTAGTGGACAGAGCTTCTGGGCTCCAGCGGAGTCTACATGAAGGCGAAGATGGAGCTTCCGTTGTGTGCTAGCCGCCGCTCATTAGTATGAATAGTTCACTACACCAACTGACCTCATTCATAGCAGCTTAAAAACGCTATAATTTCATTTCATAGCATTTTATAAAGCGCTATGACAGGACATGCTATAGTAGATATCCAGTTTCACATAGCATTTTTCAAACGCGATTAAATATAAACAAAGCATAGTGTTTCTAGTGCTATCAAAGATAGAACCGCAATATTAGGTGAACTACTTTATATAGCAGTTACCAAACACTATCAAAGGCTCAAATCATTATTAGTTATAGTGTTTTGATGTTGCTATGATACAAATATCACAAAGTTTAAAAATATATTATAAGCTTAGTTATAATAGTACCACACCATCACTTAGACAAATATTTACCTCCATATATATTGAAACAAGAATCATCCCACCAGACATTGGCTTCATAGAACTTTTTAAATGCTTATAAAGTTCTAATAAACTCAAAAATAATGAACATTGGACATACACAAAATAAAAGTATGTTATCTACAAAATTACAAAAAAAAATGAAGTGCAAACCTAATTTGAGAGCATCAAGAAAAGTAAAAATTTAATTTAGAAACAAAGAAAACATGTAAATACTAAATAGTACGGAGTAGTAAATATTTACTTTTAAAATTATTTACTTTAAGTAAAAATTATTTACTTTAAGTTTTCATAAATTAGTTTTCAGCAACATTAGTTTTGCAGTATGTTATATATGCTGCTTAGCTTAGCAAGATTATTTATCACAAGCCTGGATTTGTCTTCAATACCAATTAAATAACAGACCAATTCAGCTCTGTCTCAATGAAGATGCTGCTCTCTTCATGTACTCTGTCAAGTAAAACCTCAATGAAAAATGCAATTTCCAATCAAATTAAACACAACCCGGTGTCATGTTGGAATAAATCCGATAATACTTTAATCTTCATATTGAAATTATCTAGAGAATTAACTGAGCGGAAGTGTACCTGACTCTATGGGAGATCACCTTTAGAGATCCGGGAGACGGAGTCTAGGGTTTGCGTCTTCTAGTTGATACACACCCTCGGGATTATCTCTCTAGCGATGGGATGCAGAAAGACGGAATGACGTGCTCAACTAGGGACCATAACCCCTTATTTATAGAGAGTGCTTAACCCTAATCAGCCCATCATTGATTAGGTCAAGCCCATGGGTCTCTACACATTTGGGCCCGATACCTTATTAGATGACTTATTAGCCCACTTAAATTAATATCCAGAGGACCACTAAATTTTGGGCCTAAATATAAGATAGCATATAACATACAATTAAACCCGATAAATAATATATTGTGAACATTACATGTAGTATAAGTCCAATAATCTAACAATCTCCCACTTGGACGACATACACATGAATACACACAATCCTTAGCATTGTATGTTTACTTTAGGAGCTCCAAAATTTTGCTATCAAACTGTAGTCATCCTTAATCAATCCGGTCCATTAATTATATCCACATAGGACCAAACAAGTCTTTGTTATATTTGAATAACTAGACTCATCAATGATCACGTATATTAATATAATAAACGACATGGATCAAGTATAGGTGTGTAGCGTGGAAATAACATAAAGTGTGGTCTGGAATAGAATGTCTATTTCCAACTGGTCCACCTTGAGATCAATAATATAACTGTAAGAGTACAATAAAACTTTAAACTTTATTTCTGCAGAAAATAACATTAAACTTGAGTTAACCAAATATAGAAACATTACAAACTCCCACTAAAACTCATAATTCTCAACTGATTTGACACCCATTTGAGCAACATGCTCATGAAACACTTTGGGTGGTAATCCTTTAGTGAGCGGATCCGCAATCATGGAGTTCGTGCTAATGTGCTCTATAGATAACTTTCCTTCTTGTACTCGTTCCTTAACAGCCTTAAATTTGACCCCAATATGTTTTGCCTTGGTCAAACTACTGTTGTTCTTAGCATAAAGGACTGCTGACCTATTGTCACACAATAGCTTTAGCGGTCTTTCAATGTTGTCCACTATGCGTAGTCCACTAACAAAATCTCGCAGCCATAATGCCTGATTGGATGCCTCATAACATGCTATAAACTCTGTTTCCATGGTAGAAGTAGCTGTAAGAGTCTGTTTGATACTCCTCCAGGAGATAGCTCCTCCAGCTAGAATATAGATGTAGCCCGAAGTGGATCTCAAGCTATCTTGACATCCAGCAAAATCAGAGTCGGTATACCCAATGACCTCAAGCTGATCCGATCTCCGATATGTGAGCATATATTCCTTTGTTCTCTGTAAATACCGCATGACCCTTTTGGCTGCTTTCCAATGGTCCATTCCCGGATTGCTCAAATATCTGCCTAACATCCCAACAATGTATGCCAAATCAGGTCTTGTATAAACCTGGGCATACATCAAACTTCCTACAGTCGAAGCATAAGGAATGTTCCTCATTTCTTTAGATTCAAAACCATTCTTAGGACACTGCATGAGACTAAACTTATCTCCTTTGGAAACTGGGGTATCTCCTGGTTTGCAATCTTGCATACCAAACCTTTTGAGAACCTTATCGATATAGCTCTTTTGTGAGAGTCCAAGAACGCCTTTGGAGCGATCTCGGTGAATTTGAATTCCTAATACAAAAGAAGCCTCACCAAGATCTTTCATTTCAAAATTCTTTGAAAGAAATCTCTTAGTTTCGTGCAATAAGCCTATATCGTTACTAACAAGCAGTATGTCATCAACATACAAGACCAAGAAAATATGCTTACTCCCACTGAACTTGTGGTATATACAATCATCACTGACGTTTGGTTGAAAACCAAAAGATATAATGACTTTATGAAACTTGTGATACCACTAACGAGAAGCCTGTTTGAGCCCATAGATGGATTTCTTTAATTTGCAAACCATTTTCTTTGAATCTCACAAAACAAAGTTTTCTGGTTGCTCCATATAGATTGATTCCTCAATGTCACCATTGAGAAATGCAGTTTTTACATCCATCTGATGAAGCTCAAGATCAAAATGTGCCACTAATGTCATTATTGTTCTAAAAGAGTCTTTCGAGGATACCGGAGAGAAAGTATCTTTATAGTCAATTCCTTTCTTTTGAGTGTAGCCTTTAGCAACAAGACAAGCTTTAAACCTTGTAACATTGCCCTTTGAATCCCTCTTGATTTTAAATATCCATTTACTACCAATGGGTTTAATACCTTCAGGCAATGAGACTAACTCCCAAACGTCATTGTCACTCATAGACTTCATCTCATCTTTCATGGCATTAATCCATTCTTGAGAGTTGGAACTTTCCATGGCTTGACGGAAGTTGATTGGATCATCTTCCGCAAAACCAACATCCGATTCTTGTTCTTGGAGGAAGACAATTATTTCTTCCACCAATTCCCAATTATTTCTTCCACCAATTCCCAATTTTCCTCATCCGAAATTGCGCTTCTCCTCTCTCGAGTGGATCTCCTTAATGGCACCTCAGGTTCTTGAGGTTGTTGAGTTTGACCCTCATTAATAAATTCAGGTACTTGATTGGGGATGTTTTCGAGATTGTCATGAACTGGAGTTGTTTCTTGAACATTATTAGGAATAAATATATCTTGATCATGTTCAATGACAACTGAAGGAAGAGTAACATGTTCTTCCTCAAAGACAAAATCTCTAACTTTATCTCCCCCACCCCCAAACTCAATATCCTCAAAGAACCGTGCATTACCCGTCTCAAAAATAGTCCTGGTAATGGGATCATATAACTTATACCCCCTTGACCTCTCTGAGTATCCTACAAAATAGCTACTAACTGTTCTTGAGTCCAATTTCTTTTCATTTGGCCTATAAGGCCTTGCCTCAGCTGGACAACCCCAAACATGGAAATGATTTATACTGGGTTTCTTTCCAGTCCAAATTTCATAAGGGGTTTTAGTTGTAGCTTTAGTGGGAACTCTGTTAAGTATGTAAGCTGCGGTTTTCAGTGCCTCTCCCCAGATGGAATCTGGTAAAGTAGTATGACAAATCATACTCCTAACCATGTCCTTCAATGTACGGTTTCGTCTCTCAGCAACACCATTCATTCTAGGAGTTCCTGGCATGGTGTATTGTGGAATAATTCCACACTCCTCTAGGAATTTAGCAAAGGGCCCTGGACGTTGTTCACCGGAACCATCATATCTACCATAGTATTCACCACCACGGTCAGATCTAACGGTTTTTATTCTTTTGCCTAATTGGTTTTCAACTTCGGCCTTATAAGATTTGAACACGTCTATTGATTGGGACTTTTCATGAATGAGATAAAGGTAACCATAACGAGAGTAATCATCTATGAATGTGATAAAATATGTTTGGCCATTTCTACATGGTGTAGGGAATGGTCCACAAATGTCTGTATATATCAATTCCAATAGATCTGAAGCTCTCTCGGCACCTAATCTCCGTTTGTTCGTTTGTTTTCACTTAACGCACTCAACACAAATATCAGAATTTGAGGAGTCAAGAGAATCAAGAATTCCATCTGACACAAGTCTCTGAATTCTTTCTTTAGAAATATGTCCTAGACGCTTGTGCCAAAGTGAAAACGAATTCTCATTGGTTAATTTTCTTTTAGTACCACGAGTACTTACATGCAAGGTTTCATTATATGAGGTATTCACATCAAGTGAATATAGATTATCATAAACTGATAAAAGACCAGTACCAATAAGTTTTGAATCTTGAAATAGACTGAGCTGACTATTTCCAAATGAACAAGAATAACCAAATTTGTCCAATGCAGAAATAGAAATTAAATTCCGCCTAAATGACGACACAACAAATGTCTCTTTCAAATCCAAATAAAAATCAGTCTTTAATAATAATCTAAAAACACCGATAGCCTCAACTTCAACCCGTTTTCCATCACCGAAATAGATGTATCGTTCACCATCAATTGGTTTTCGACAGCTCAGGCAACCCTGCATAGATACACTTATGTGAGTAGTAGCACCGGAATCTACCCACCAAGTGTCTTTTGGTACCGAAATTAAATTAACCTCAGAACAAACAAAAGCAAGAGACATACCCTTTTTCGCACGCCAAGCGTGGTACTTAGTGCAGTTCTTTTTCTTGTGATTAGTCCCTTTGCAAAAGATGCATCCAGATTCCTTAGTTTCTTCCTTAGTTTCCTTGTGATGCTTCCTGGGAGACCCCGAATTTGCAGCTTCCTTAATTTTCCTTTTCTTGCTGGCCTTAGAGGTGGATGCCAAATGAGCACTTTCTGTCTTATCTTGCTTTATTCTCTCTTCCTCTTGAACACAATGAGAAATGAGCTCATTGAGAGACCATTTCTCCTTAATGCAGTTGTAACTGACTTTAAATTGATTAAATTGAGAAGGAATTCCTCAGGTAAAATAAGCTTTAGTGCACTTAGTTTTGAAGCAATGTGAGACATTTCCAAAATGTACTCCCTTATGTTCCCTTTGCCTTTATACTTCATGGAAACAAGAGTGCTCAAAAGAGTACTAGTTTCCGCCTTTTCGTTTTTAGCAAAACGCTTTTCAAGTTCGGCAAGGAACGATTTGGCATCAGCCTCATCAGACATTGTGCCCCTGAATGATTCTGGAATTGCACGTTTCATGATCATTAGACTCATCCGGTTTGAGCGTTCCCACCTCTCCATCTCCCTCTTTTCATCAAGGGTAGATGTGTTCTTAAGAGCGGAGGGTTTCTCAGTCCGAAGTGCAAGGTCTAGATCTATGCAACCGAGAACAATCATAACGTTCTCTTTCCATTCCTTAAAATTCGTGCCGTTAAGCACTAGGATGCTATTAATATTAGCAGATATTGTAGCAGCAGAATTGTTGACTGAAAGAGAACAAAAAATAATATAAATGATATGCTCTAGGAACTGAAATTAATTTGATAATTAATTTTAAATTTAAATATTAGCAATCCTCATCACAAGATACCTAACGCAACATCTAATCTTATCTTTGGACATAAATTAGACTTGCAAGTGGGGTACTCTTGGTGTAATAATAAAATTTCGATAATAAAATCATGTCAAATATTAAGCCTTTCTTTGGACCGACTTAATATTCACATGAAAACCTCATAATTATCACAAATTTTATTATCACAAATGTACTTAAATTTCGGCCAAATAATAACCTTCCTTTGGGCCAATTATTATCCGCATAAAATAAGAAAGTACACAATCATCTTAATATATGAGTTAATTAATTTCAACAAGAGAAGTTACTTTGGCAGCATGTTGTGTCAATTAATCAACCCAAATATTAGACATGCTAATATTAAATCAACAATCTCAAAATAAAATTGGGCGAATTTTTCTGAATCACATGTAAATGTGTTATGTATAACGATAATTTGTAAAACCCGTACCCAATCGTTGTGCGATCACAAAATAGGGTTTATACATCTCATAACATACAATACATATTATTTTTTTTTAACCCATAAATCATGATCACCAACAAAAGTAATCTATTTCAGAAATATCCAAATATGCAATTCTAATCGGACTGGTAGCTGCCGTAATTACATATAAGTATTTAATTACCAAAACAGGTAATCTTAATTACCAAAAACCGAAAGAAATTTCACTGATTCTTCTATATCTCGATAACCTTCCAAAGATGAATACATGGTTTCACTAAATATAATACTCCGTATTCAGTAATATTTCGATTACCACCTTTTTTTAAAAAAAATCAAAATGAATATGAGAAATTAGCTACTGAATCATGCACCTTTCAAAAAATTCATCAATCGTAAGATTGACTAGTCCAATAAAAAGAATACAAAAGATTAACTATACGGCACTACAAGATCGGTAACGAGAAAAAAAAATTACAGGCTTCGAATCAATTGAGTGTCGGCTGAAAGAAATAATACAACAAACCACACCATTCAATATAGAGCTAATCGATCGTTTGATTAGCAAAATCCAATCGTTTTGCTTAATGATTAACTACTGATCTGATATGTGAATATATCAGGAACGAATTGCATAAAAGCAAAATCGCATTACCCTTATTTCAATAAATCGGTAGATAATACTAGCTCCAAATAATTCAATATGAAGGAGGCTCTGATACCAATTGTTGGAATAAATCCGATAATACTTTAATCTTCATATTGAAATTATCTAGAGAATTAACTGAGCGGAAGCGTACCTGACTCCATGGGAGATCACCTTTAGAGATCCGGGAGACGGAGTCTAGGGTTTGCGTCTTCTAGTTGATACACACCCTCGGGATTATCTCTCTAGCGATGGGATGCAGAAAGACGGAATGACGTGCTCAACTAGGGACCATAACCCCTTATTTATAGAGAGTGCTTAACCCTAATCAGCCCATCATTGATTAGGTCAAGCCCATGGGTCTCTACACATTTGGGCCTTATACCTTATTAGATGACTTATTAGCCCACTTAAATTAATATCCATAGGACCACTAATTTTTGGGCCTAAATATAAGATAGCATATAACATACAATTAAACCCGATAAATAATATATTGTGAACATTACATGTAGTATAAGTCCAATAATCTAACATGTCAATCATACAAAACAATGAAAAACAGCAAAATACTAATCAGAGAAGATAAACTAAAGCTTGAAAATCACCTCCAATGAAAATAATCCTGACTAACAAGTCTGTGTTGTTTCCCTGCACAAAAATGGTCCTTTAGCTAAAATTCATAAAAAAACAAAAATAAAATAAAAGTATTGTCTAAATATATAAAACCACCTGCAAATCAGAAAAAAATGATCAATCGAGCTTGGTTGCAATCATACGAAACAGTGGAAAAAAGAAAATTAGTGACCAGAGATTATAAACAAAAGCACGAAAATCAACTCCAATGAACATATTCCCAACAAAAAATCTTCCCTGCACAAAATTAGATGGACATTTACGCAAAATTGATACAAAAACACCAAACATATTAAAAGTGTAGTCCAAATATTTAAAATCAACTGCGGTGTCGAGGTTGATGGCTTTATCGGTGCAAGTGTGGAACGTCGGTGCTTCTCCAGTGCGGTGGTGCTTCTCCAGTTCGACGGTGCTTCTCCAATTCGGCGGTGCTTCAGATACTAGATGAGTAAATACGAGATCTGAAAAAAGCTACAAGGGTTAGTGGTTAGATAGGTGAAATGTGAGATCAGAGATCTCAAATACACGTAACTTTTTAGTTATTAGACCTAACTTTAAAATCTGTTATAAGGAATGTGGAAAGCAAATCCCAATATTTATAACTCTTTGTTAACATCGGGTAATACTGTAACCGAGGTAGAATAGTTTCTTAAATTATAAAATATACCCCTGAGATTCTAGTTCACATCGGTTATATGAGGAACCTATGTAGAAACATTTATAAAAATTATAAAAATAACCCCATGTCACTATTCCACATGGGTTATTAGATAACTAATGTAAAAACCATGATGTAAAATGGTCTTTTTGTACTAGTGGTGTTTGGTGCATAAATTCTAATTTTGTGAATTAGTTAATAATTGAAACGATTAATGCCATTAACATATTACTATTAGTTAATTAGTAATTTTAATTGAACGTTAGTTAATTTTAGTGAACTTTAGTGAAATTTAATATATTAATGTTACTAGCTAGTGAACTTTAGTTGATTAGTAAATTATTAGTTCCGGCCATTAACGTATTGATTTTAGTTAATTAATAATATTAATAGTGAACTTGAGTGAAATTTAACATATACATGTTTCTAAATCTGAATTAGTCATGATTGAAAAGTTAGTTAATTCAAATTATTAATACCACAAATGTACTGCTTTTAGTTAATTAATAATATTAATTGAACGTTACTTAATGTACTTAATATAATATTTTGATTATAATATACAGGCATAATGTATAGACAAAACAGAAGTTGGATGTACCAAAAACATCGCGATAACTATGGAATACGCAGTGAATTTTTAAATGGTGTTGAAAATTTTATTAAATTTACACAAGAACAGAAGAATTATATGGATGGCGATAAAATCATATGTCAATGTACAAAGTGTAAAAATCTCCAATTTAAAGATGACGACCAAGTTGTGTGGGATTTGTACGAAAAAGGTTTCGTTGCCAATTATAATTGGACTTCTCATGGCGAACCTTTCGATCTATCATTTTTACCACAAAGAGTAGGCTCACCTCGTAACGTCCCTACCGAGATGAGTGGGTGAGGAGACTATGATCAAATGACATGAGAGCAAAAAATGGCATATGATGCATACGGTACTTCAACGACTCAGTTTAACCCCCCACAACCATTTAACGATCTTCCCGAAGCTTCAACCTCGTATCAACCTGATGCGGATGAAAATCCGACCTTTTATCAACCTGATGCGGATGAGTATCCAAATTCTCATGTTCCTCATATTGAAGACTTAGCTGAGAGATTTCAAGATGTTCTAAAAGCTGCCGATCAGCCTCTGTATGCTGATTGTGAGGGATACTCTCAGCTATGAGCCATTATAGAGTTGATGAACATTAAATCTGAATACAGTCTCCCTCAATCTTGCATATCTAGGTTATTGCAGTCATTTGGAGGAATGCTACCGCGTGACCATAATCTTCCTTATTCATATTACAAAATGAAACAATTAATGTCTCAGTTGGGGCTTCCTTGTATAGAAATTGATGCGTGCCCAGAAGGATGTATGTTGTTCTGGAAGGATGATGTGGCACTTGAGAGATGCAAGTTCTGTGGTGGAGAGAGATACAAGCATGTTCCTCATAGACGAAAAAACCACGAAAAGGTCTGCATTGTCTAAATTGTTTTACCTCCCTCTAGCTTCACCCCTGAAGAGGATGTATGCTTCAAATGCTACTGCGAAACACATGACGTGGCATGTTGAGCACGAAACCAATTAAAAGAGGGCTTGATGTCTCACCCTTACGACTGTGAAGCTTGGAGACACTTTGACCGTTGTCATCCTCAGTTTGCAATGGAGTCACAGAATGTGCGACTGGGATTGTGTTCAGACGGATTTGCTGCTTTTGGAAAGTTTGGGAAGAAATTTTCATGTTGGCCAGTCATGCTAACTCTTTATATTCTTCCTCCCGACATGTGCATGAAAAGTCCTTTCATCTTTTTGACTTTAATTTGTCCAGGTCTCTGAGATCCTAAAAAAAAGGATAGACATCTATAGTGATCGATCTCCAACCCCTGATCGAGGAGATGAAAGAACTTTGGGTCATTGGGACACCAACTTATGATGTTTCAAGAGATAAAATGTTTATCATGAAAGCTGCCATCATTTGGACCATTAGCGTCTTTCCTGCCTATGGTATGCTTTCAGGATGGAGCACACACGGTGTTATGGGATGTCTGATATGTATGGAGAAATCAGAGGCCAATTGGCTCAAATTTAGCTGGAAACCAAGTTACTTTGATTGTCACTGCAAGTTCCTGCCTATGAACCATCGATATCGAAAGGAAAAGAAGTCTTTTATTGCCGAAAGAGTGGTACGAGACCCCCCCACCTCCGAGACTTACAGGCGAACAAGTTTTTAACTGGGTTCGACATTTTCCTACGGTTGTGCAGCAACCCTACGGGGAGCCAATGGGTATTGTGATACCCATAAGTGGACAAAGAGGAGTATATTTTGGGAGTTTCCATATTGGAAAGACCTTCTCATTCGTAACAATTTAGATGTCATGCACGTTGAGAAGAACGTCTTTGACAATATATTTAACACGGTTATGGATTTTACCCACAAAACCAAAGATAGTCTTGCATCTAGAAAAGACATGACAATTTGGTGCGACAGGCCCGAACTCGCCGTCGATCTAGAATATGTGGCCCGAACTCCAAGAGCAGTCTACAAACTCACAGACCCACAAAGGGAATCAATATTAGAGTGACTTGTTTCTCTAAACTTTCCAGACGGCTATTTCTCTAACCTGTCAAGATGCGTGGACCTGGACAAACAAACAATGACGTCGAGCATGAAAACTCATGATGCTCATGTAATCATGCAACGGCTTCTGCCGATTGCACTGAAAGAGATGTTTACTGCACACGTCTGGGGCTGTATTACCGAAATCAGTCAATTGTTTCAGTTGATATGTTCCACCGTTTTGGATGCCGAATCCCTCAGGAGACTAGAAGAAATTGTTCCCATTCTGATGTGTAATCTGGAAAAGATACTGCCCCCATCATTTTTTGATGTAATGGAACATCTTCTAATACATCTTCCGTATGAGGCTTTGAATGGAGGGCCCATCTTCTATCGTTGGATGTACAGATTTGAGAGGTTAGTCACAATTTCATTAATTTATAAACGATGATTTGTTTAATAAGAACATTTGTTTGTTTACAAATTTTATTTTGCATGACAGATTTCTGGGAGAGTTGAAAAAGAAAACGACCAACAAGGCACACATTGAGGCTTCAATTTGTCAAGCATATATTCAACAAGAAACCTCAACGTTTTCATCTTTTTATTTTGAGCGTGAAGTCATTAGTAAAAGAAAGAGACCTGCTCGGAACGATGACATTGGCGAGGATTCATATGACAAAGTAGTTTATATTTTCAACTACCCAGGAAGAGGTAAAGGAGCTGCGACTTACCGTTACATCGTGGGCGGAGAATTTAAAATTGCACATACTTACATCCTCATGAATTATCCAGAAATCATACCATTTTATAAGTAAGTTGAATCGGTAGTTATATTTGTAATATAGCTAATAATTTTTAATAATTAGAGTGTTATAATAATATCTTTATGTTTGAATTCACAGTGAATTTAGAGCGTCTTTATCAGCATTTCTTGATGATGCAATTGATGTAATGGTGGACTCTGACTTTGCTGTATGGTACCAACAACAGGTATATATCTACATTATATATACTATTTGCTAATAATTTTTAATCATTACCTAATGTTATCATGTTTTAATTTGGAGATCAGGTGTCGTGGGATTGACGACCTTCTGTTAGTATCATTATCGTGGGGCCCTTCTTCCTATGCAAAGGTTTGGCATTCATATGTGATAAACGGTTATACGTATCACACAGTCGAATATGGAGAAGGTCGACCAACAATGAACAACGGGTTATGTATCCCGACCATCGGTTCTGATAACTCGGAAACCAATTTTTTTGGTTTCTTGCATGAGATTCTCGAACTTCAAATGCCTTCTGGTTTGCAAGAATTGACATGCGTGTTGTTTCGCTGCACATGGGTCGATCCTACACGTGGTGTGAGAAAAAATTCAAAGTATAATATAATTGATGTCAACCATTCTCGTGTGTATCATAAAAATGAGCCTTTTATACTCGCTCAACAAGCAACCCAAGTTTATTATGCAGAGTATCCTTCAACCAGGCGCACACGGAATCCTTGGGTGTGTGCCATTAATATCCGTCCGAGCAAAATTATAACACATGCTCAATAGAAGGATATTGACTTTGATGCTTTTCAGCAAGATTTTTTCCAACCTCCGCCTATTGCTGACACGGTCAACCATAACATTCAGTTAAGTGACCCAAATGGCGGAGATGTTGAAGTCATGCCTGAAACACACCTTCCGCCCCCTATACCTCAAAATGAGCGCGAAATTGAAGAATTATATATACAACAAATGCACGATGACCAGGAGGAAGAAGAAGAATGAATATATGATGATGAAGATACAGAAGAAGAAGTTGGCTATCAAGAAAATGTTGGAAAAATGTGTTAAAAATTGCATTAAATGGTCATTTTGGGGCAATTATTTGAGTGGGGTCCAATTCCAATTTGGGTCAGGTCAAAGTGGTTTCGGATTGTCCTTGTTAAGGGCTACAATTCGATATGGGGTACACTAAAAAAGGATAACGGGTGAATGAGAAATTGATTCTCGAAGTTCACTCATTGAAATGGAAAAACTGGGAAAAGATGGGTTTCTAGTGTATTTTATACCACACCGGAAAACTCAAGGGATTTTCACCCCCTTTATAAAGGGAAGCCTCTTTTAAGAAATTAAGATTCCTTAAAGTAAAGGCTCTCTCTCACGCGCGGGGTGACGATCAAATCCCGAAACGGAGAAGAAAAACCGCGACTCGTGTGGTTTGCAACAAACACACGTTCAGACACAACACACAATACATTCCTCACGTATTTTTGAGCTCTAAAACACTTCCAGCTACTCCGAAAATTTCTGAGTGTTCTCCTTTGTTCC